CCATATGCGGCTAGCGGTACAGGCGCTTGCTCGAAGTGAGCCTGGCTGCTAGGTTGCGTAGCAGCTAGCGGGCGAATTTCGGCAATGGCTCAGGAACGTTACTGGTCTCTATGGCCCCAGGACCCACAACACGCTACATTTGCACTGAAAGCTGGTATGGAGCGCCTCGCGTCATCCTGACTGGGTTTGGGACAGGTGAGAATGCTCGATTGTGAAGCTCAATGTGAGCATTGGCCCTGTTGTCGAGCAAAGTGGTATCTGCTAAAGCTGGCAGTGGACAAAACTCGTGGCTAGCAGATATAGCGTGGTTAACACGGCAAGCCTGATTCGCAAAGGCATGCTGCCTCGGCTATGTCTAATCAAAAGCTTACTGAGCCTTTAATACCGCGTTGGACACCAATTTGATGGCTTCGATATTCACCGGAGTAAAAATTATCATGGGTTCAGACTTAGCAAGCCACAGGGCCACGTATACCATCGCCTGCTTTCGTGTAGCTTTGTGCGCACTCAACTAGCAAAGAATTTATATGGTGCGACATAACTGGCAATGTTCAATCTAACAAAACACTCAAACACTTTACTGCTTTGGGTGGCAACCCAAAAGCACAACGTCCTCTGCTGAGATGTGGGGAGTAAAGAGCTCCCGCATGTGGACATAACCAAAGGGGAAGACCACGAGCATGTTGCAGCTGGCATTGGCAAACTTCGATACACCGGTGAAGAAAAGGTCCCTCGCGACTATGCTGGACACGCCTGTGATAGCCACTGGGCCTGGTCGCGAGAGTTACGGGCAAACTTCATACATGTAGGCCTCTGGCAAATCCGCCGTGGCGTAGTACAACTACGTCAAGCACTAGGCATCACTGTTAGCACAAAGGTAAACATGCCCGCCAAAGATGCCGGGACACCCAGGCAGATTACAGTCTGACGATTTTCGAAGGGGGCACAGACAAAAGAAACCGTGCGCTGCCCTAGAAGAAAGATAGAGCTTTTTCGACACGCTCGTGACTCGGTCTCACCGGCTCTTCTTGCTCGAGACCACGTGCGGTACCATCTATTGCTACACGCCGTCACGAGCATGGGCAAGAAAAGGGAGCGGCAGTACGGCTAAAATGCTCACGAAATGGTTACGGGCGCGCCTCTGATCACCACAATGGAGGATCTGAATCTGCGACCTTCGAATAACGCATGTGATGCTCTGCCACTGAACTATTACGGTGGCGGTCATCACTCCATCCTTTTTTATTTAAAGAAAGGCGGAGAGGTCGTCCTAAGCGATAGCTTGCTCTAGACTGCTACTCTACCCTGGGGAAGGGAAAGGGGAAAAGAAAGATTAATGGATGACGATGGTGAGATAGATAGGTGAGTATGTAGTGTTCTTTCTAGCTGAGACACATTTCATAGCCGTGCACATAGTCCAGATGTTTCGAAAAAAGTTATAACTGCTCTTGTGACCACAGTTGCACTGTTAGTGTCTGGCCAAGGGCCCAACATTGTCTCATCAGTTAATGACCTACTGCGATATAGTTCAGTAGAAGAAATCAGTGTTTGTCGTTCTTGTGCGTATGCTGGGCAGACACAAAATATGTGCTCAAGTGTTTCTGGCACATCACAGTGTTCACAATTAGGACCGGTGTCACTGCGACCGATGATATGTGCGTAATGTCTGGTGTACGCTACACCAAGACGAATGCGGTGGATCATACTTGTGAGTTGCCGTTTCAATTTAGGGGGCATGCGGAACCTCATTTCCGGGTCCTATTTGTGAAGTCGCTGGTGTCGCCGTTTCGGTTTGGTTCAGTGCTGAAGTGTGTAGATGCGCATCACGCAGCGAAGCAGGGTGTTCGCGTCAGCTCGTGAAAACGCAATGCGTACTTCAGGGGCACTGCTTAAGGCATTTTTAGTTTCAGCGTCTGCCTCTTCGTTTCCCATCACGCCGCAATGAGCGAGAATCCACTGGAAAGTTATAAGATGACCATTTGTTGAAGCAACCTGAATAAGTTCTGTGATTTCTATTGCCAAGCTGTAATGCGGCCCTTGCTTCATGATGCAATTAATGGTTTGCAAAGCGGGTTTGGCATCACAAAAAATCGTCCAGGCTCGAGGTCGCTCTCCGGAAATAAATCTTATTGCCTCCCGGATAGCGACAAGCTCTGCGGCAGTTGATGTGGTTTTATGGTCCACTTTGAATCGTCGAGCGATATCCATGTCTGGGATGACAAAGGCTGCAGCGGAGGTGTTTAGCGTGGTGGATCCGGCGGTGTACACGTGCAGAGAATCACTGTACGTTGTATAAATGTGATATAGGGTCAGTTGTCTGAGGCCAACAGAAGAAATGAGCGACTTCTTCGTGAGTGCACCGTGATAAGCGCTACGGTTCTTAAAATTACTTATGTATGCCTTTTCTAGTAAAAGGCTCACATACAAAATATATAGGTGTTGTTATGGTAACCCAGACATGCGCAATAATTGCTCTTTAATTGACAATTACACAAGCATGAACGCTCAACCTTGAGCAACATAGGTGGGCGCTGCGGATGGGGTCGGCCATTTCAAGTAACGGCCCGATGCCGTTAAGAGTGGACAAACAGACAAATGTACAGGCCGACAGACAGACAGATGAAAATTTTTGTGTCGAAGGTGCCCAAGAAAGACTATCGTCTTTAAAGGAGGAATCGCAAAGAAAGAAGAGCAGTTGGGCTTTCAGCGCATTGAGAAAAGGAAGAGAACTCTCCAAAGATGCACAATTTTAAGTTTCTATGCTGCAGCCCGGCCGCGATGGTCTAGTGGCTAAGGTACTCGGCTGCTGACCCGCAGGTCGCGGGTTCGAATCCCGGCTGCGGCGGCTGCATTTCGAATGGAGGTGGAAATGTTGTAGGCCCTTGTGCTCAGATTTGGGTGCACGTTAAAGAACCCCAGGTGGTCGAAATTTTCGGAGCCCTCCACTACGGCGTCTCTCATAATCATATGGTGGTTTTGGGACATTAAACCCCACATATCAATCAAGTTTTTATGCTGCAGCAAGAATTTTATAATGGCGAAAGAATCAAATCGCCACTAATGAAAATAAATCAGCTGTTTGGCTTGTAGATGTGCAGGAGTTGTCTTTTACATTCCTTATTTACGGTAAACGAATCCTTCTAGCCATTCGGACGTAATAATTTAGTATGTTTTGAAGATCGTGCAAATCTGCCATCTTTGTTCATCTTATTTTTTGCCTTGAGGGCTTTTTTACAGATTGCCAGTCGGGGAAAACGTTGAGGATCTTCGTGCAAAACCTGGAAAAGTCAAGGAATTCATAAAAACCATGCTAATGTTTAGGGGGCATGTCTTCTTTCCCTCAATTTGAAAACTGCCCTTGTTCTCACTAACCTGTGATCACTACTTATTGCTTAGCCTGCTACATCCTCCACTGTGCCTGTGAACCGTATTAAAAGAGCACTGACACACAAATTTTGCACGTATTTTTTTTTTGTGCACTAGGTAGCTTATGACCCACTTATCAAGTCTGCAAACCTCGTTTGCACGTGTGCACGACGGTTATTTATTTAGACACATTTTTAGGGTGCCCAGTCTCAGTTCCAGTAACAAAGAGCTCCGAGCTAGTTAAGAGCAGTTCAGAGACGAGGTGCACACAGCTGGCCACGTGACCATGCAACATTGTGACATGGGCACCTTGCGCGAGAGCATGTACGGTTGGAAGTTGCACATAAAGCCAGCGCAGTTAGCACAAGTGCAGCTGCAGGCATGGAGGGGGAAATTGCAGATAACACAAGCGCAAGGCCCGTGGCAGCAACCAGCCCACACAAACTCATGACGTAGGTTTGCTTACATCATAGAGTTTCCTAAAACTAACTAGAGGGGACCCCAGCGCTGCGATCGTTCAGTGACCATGGAAATGATGGGTAGTACACGGATTTGCCCAGTCTTTGTACTTGCAGGCCCCGACTCACACATGTGACTTTGTTTATTGCAGTGTTTCGGTTTTATCTCAAATGAAAGAAGGGACGGATGTAAACATCGTGAGCCAATTTGAAAGGGTGAACCTAAAAGGTTCAAGTACTGAAGCGCAACGACTGAATATTTGCTGATTTTTGTTTCGTGACAAAGCAGCTTCAAGCCACACAAAGCCAACCAGAGTCGAAAATGCAAAAATTAGACAAATCCATGTACTACCTATCATTCTCACGCTCACTAAAATGCCAAGCGTTGCAGCTTCTACACACACTAGTGCCACAGTTCTCTCTAGTGTATTTATAGGAAACTCTACTGCTCACATTGCCCCGGTGTATGTCGATGTTGCGAGGGGCTCTGCATCTTGTTCAGTTGCGTGGTGTACATTTGATATCTCGTACATGTTGTGTATGTCTCCACATAAATCAATCTTGCTCGTTATCTTGCTCCTTGAAAGGACCAGTAAGCGGCCCCAAGGTCCAAAATGTGTAATGAAGTGATAACTGCACATTTGTACGATGTGATCATGTTTCTATAATTTTGCGAATAAGTGTTGTAATAAGGCAGTGTATAGAATACCCTGCTTCTGCTGGTTTCGTTTCCTCCCTTACCACACTCCTCTGCATCAAAGATGGGCAGGCGCAGCCTGTCGTTGCCACCATGCCCACTTTGGCAATGTTACACATCATAAGTGATTAAATCATCAACACACAGCCAGGGATTAAGCAAGGCTTCCTGCACATATCTTTTGTGTTGGAGCCATACTAGGGTCCCTCCAGTGGCACGGCCATAACCTCAGAGCCAAGGCGCCATTTCATAGTGCAGAGGACCAATTGATGAAGTCGGCACTACATTCAGTTGCCCATGGGCAACACTGGTATATTCATGAAATGTTATGGCCATGAATTTCTGCACTTATTGGCGAGCTTGTTTGGGTGATGAAAAAAAAAAAAGGAAAAATGGAAGCCTCTTTACTTACCCTTTACTTTTACACTTTTCGTAGACTTAGCTGTTCCTGTTGACATTGACCTCCTCTTTGTACACAGATGGTCTCCTTGTGCCTGACATTGCACGTACATCATCGCTGGTACACAGGGCCAGCTACAGGGACTACCGGCTACACCAGCGTCGCTACCACTGTCGCCTGCTGCAGGAAATCTTAGTGTCTCGCAAGGTAGGGGCCCAACTCCCTAGTGTTTTTGCAGCAAAGCTGTCCTTGTGGGCTCTACACTTGCATTGTTTTCATTTGCCATCCATGGCATTCACAAGAATAGGTCGCGTGATGAGTCTCGTGAGAGAAGGAAAGAGGAGGAGGTCACACGATCAACCACGGAGTGGAGGTGAGTGAAAGGCAGTGTTTGACCCGGCACACTGATGGTCGGAGGATCATAACTGCTGGGCTTACTTACACAATCTGAACATAGGGCAAACAAGTGAGAGGGGAATGGCCAGTGCAAGTCATTCATCTCTCCTGCTGCCAGAATAGAGAAACGGAGATTAAAGCGGAAATCTACGACACACAAGGCCTACGATGAAGCTTTCTGTTTGGCTGAACTACAAGCCTCACTTACCTGCTGTGATAAATCTACCCTAGGCCCAGACTGTCTGGCATACGAAATATTAATATATCTGCCCACTGAAACTCCAGAAGGTCTCCTCTTCCTATATAACACAATATGGTTTTCTAGCGAGCTACCTTCAGCCTTGAAGGAAGCCATCGTTATCCCTATACTATAAAAAAGGGAAAGACCCGTCCTCAGTCTCCAGCTACAGGTCAGTAGCGTTAACTAATGGCCTACCTTACCCATACCGGTGTGGGTTTCGAAAGGCTAGGCCCACTACTGATCACCTTGCCCGTATTGAGGCACAAATTCGTGATGCTTTCGTTTATAAACAATTATTTCTTGATATGGAGAAGGCCTATGACAAAACATGGTGCTTTGGCATACTCCGAGACCTGTCGCACTTGTGCTCTGTTTCACCACTTTGCTTCAGTACTACCAAAGCTACGGGGTATAAGAAAGCCACATACTTGCGCAGCAAAACATAGTCCAGATATAATAAGTGCCTTAAAATTGACCGGGTTGACTAATATTGGCTTCGTTTGGTGTGTATTACGCCACATCGATATGTGATACATTTGTTCTTCGAGTTTAGTTCGTTTGCATGAAATAATTTTTGTTACTTACCACCGGTAACTGTACTTACGAATCAATATGGCAGCACCCGTGCAGACACAACCAGCTGCTTCAGTCCAAACTTGATTTTGCTACACACCCACTGCTCTGACAACTACAAATTAATGTTAAAATCCACCATCGATTTGTTTCACCTTGCTCTGTAGATAGAACATCAGGTACGTTTTGTTGTTATTAGCGAGATATGCTGCTTGTTTAGGCTCACCTGCTAAGATAAACGCGCTGAGGCAGTGCTTAGGCTGCGTCGCCAGACCAAGAAGGCTGCATCTCTGACGGACATGCAACATGGCGCAAGGCTCCGCGTGTGCCGGATCCTCCTTCAATGAAAACATAAGAGAGAAAAGAAGCATTGCAGCGAGAGGGAAGAACGAATGCATCTTCAAAGAAGAAGTTATACGAGAGCGAGGTAAAGCATCAGAGATTGACAGCCACAAAGTCAAGTTATCCGCCGGCATGAGCATCTACCGATCTTTAGCAGAGCAACAAATTCATGCTTCAAGTTCCTGGTATGAATGCTTGTTTCGCAGTTTTACTGTATATTTAAGTTGAAAACTAGCTTTCTCTTCAATGAGTGCGTATAAACAATTCGGCGAGAAGACGTTGTGAAGAGGGTGAGCAGACGACATGGTGCATATGAATAAATGTGGGGGGACTCATCGCTCTTCTTATTGGCTGAGGGGCCCTGTAGCCTCCAAAGGGCTGAAGGGAACTTCTGAAACGGAGTATAGGTGTGGGGGTAGAATGTTTGCAATAACCGAAAGGTACCTGTCCAATCAGACATTCCGTGTTCGAGTAGACACTGCTCTTTCTCGTACATTTGTCTAAGAAACAAGAGTGCTGCAAGTAGGTGTATTGAGTTGTACACTTCTTACAGTCAAAATGAACTCCTTGCACCTTGTTATCCCACGAAATATGTTTTACTGCACATATGTTGACGATGTGCAGGTCAGTTTTAAATCGTGGAACCTATCCATGTGTGAACGCCAGGTCCAATTAGGTTTGAAGAAGATATTGAAATGGGCAGACGACAATGGGTTTAAAGGGAACGCACAAAAGGACACTTGTGTCCTATTTTCTAGAAAGAGGGGCCTTCACCCCAACTTTGGCATCGACCTGCAGGGCCAGCGTCTGCTTGTAAAGACTGAGCATCAGTTTTTGGTCATACTATTAGACTCAAAACTGACCTTCATATCGCACATGAAGTATATCAAAAGTAAGTGTTTAAAAACCATGAATATTCTGAATGTGTTATCTCAGACTATGTGGGGTAGTGACAGAAAATGGTCAACCTTTACAAAAAGCCTCATTTGCACTTGCCTTGAATAACGGGGTCATTGTTTATCCATCTGCGACACCAAGTGCTTTGAAGATACTGGATCCAGTGCACCATTTGGGCATTTGCCTTTCTACGGGTGCTTTTTGCACTAGCCCTGTGTAGAGCCTGTACGTGGAATTGAATGAATGGTCGCTCTACCTACAGAGATGTTACGTGTCTTTTGTGTACTTTCTGAAGGTGAAGGCAGACAAGCAACACCCCTCTCATGTCATAATTAATGAATTGTCTGATTCTGGCTTGTTCTAGAAGCGTCCTTCGTTGAGGCAGCCCTACTTGTTTCGTGTGAGGGGCCTCGCTGAAGAAACAGGTGTGCCTATTCTCATATACAGTTTGATGGCTACTGCTGCATATCTGCCGCCGTGGCAGTGGCAGCTCATATACTGTGATGTCGTTTTTGTGGAAGCCACTAAGCACGTGCCACTTGCACACATCCATACATACTTCCTCGAACTTCAAGATAAATACACATGTCCTGAGTTCTTTACTGATGCCTCTAAGTCCAATACTTCTGTGTCATATGCAGCAGTAGGCCAATCCTTTTATGAGGCCGGGTTTCACCTTCCTGATACAAGCATTTTCTCAGGAGAAGCTTATGCAATACTGCGGGTCGTAAAACACCATACAGATAAAACTACAAAAGGCGGTAGTATACACAGAATCCCTGAGTGTTTTAATAGCCCTGAAAACTTCTAAAGAACATAAAAAACCTGTCCTAGTATCGCTTTACTCACTTCTATGCACAGTGTACACATGAAGACAGCATGTACCGTATAAACCGAACTAAAGGTCAAGTGATAATATAGGTCGACCCCCCAAGTTCAGGTTACCGAAAAAAAAAACAAAAAGGAAAGCAACCCAAAATTGCCGAATGACATTTATTTGCGAATTGGGCGCACCGCACACCGATCGTCGGAGCTTCCCTCAACCACCATCGCAACTGTTCCTATTCGTCAGATGAAGCATTACTGTCTTCTGAAGAGGAGAGTTTGTCGCTGGCAGCCTCCCACAGTGCGTTGTCTTCCGTGTCATAGAGCGAGTTGCTGATGGAACATTTCTTAAAAGCATTTTCCACCATGGAATCTGGCAAGGAACGCCAGGCGTAAAGCACCCAGTAGCAAACAGTCGCAAGCGGAGGCCTCTGTAGGCAGCCGGTCAGTGTCTTTGGGTTGTCCTTGGACATCCACTTTTGGTACTCCAGCCGCGCTCGGTCCTTGAACGGCTTGTTTAGCACAACGTCGATCGGTTGGAGGGTGGACATCGTACCACCTGGTATCACGGCGAGGTCCGCTTTTCCATCGCTCAGTGCGCGCTTCACAGCGTTGGTTAGGTGACCACAAAACGCATCTAACACCAGCATGCTGCAAAGACGCAGCAGTGCATCTGGCTGACGGTTTCAGATTACTCGTATCCATTCGAGCATCATGGGCTCGTCCATGTATCCCTTTTTGTTGACGCGAACCACAACATGGGGCGGGAACACTTCAGCATTGTCTTACGTTTGAAAATGATGAAGGGCGGAAGCTTTCTACCATTTGCCGTGCATGCCCGCGTGACGGTGAAGCACGAGTGCTCGTTGCCAGTGGGCAACAGCTTCATATCCTTGGCGCCACGCTGCATGATCATGGTCGATGAAGGCATGTCAAACCACACGGGGTTCTCATCGGCATTGTCAATCTGCCCCATCATGTAGTTGTTCTGCTCCCGAAGCCGATTCACGAAGCTCTGAAAGTTTATAAGCTTGTCCTCGAACTCTTCTAGAAACTTCTGACAGATGGATGTGCGCCACCGGAAATAAAATCCTTTGCGTCTCATGAATTGACGCACCCAAGAGTTTGGTGCACGAAACTCTTCTCTCGTGAGCCCAGCTTCTCGAGCGAGTTCCTCAGCTTTCTTGCGAATGGTATCCACGGTCACTGGCAGTGAGAATGCATGAACTTCCCACACAAAGTTCCCTAGCATATCCTCCAGCTGCGGATGAACCGTACTTCGCCCACGAAATGCCTTTTTCCGGGGATTGCACATCTGCAGCTTCCCTTTCTGCACCCTACAACAGCGCACGCTTTTTCTGATACACCAAAGCGGCACTGAGCAGCCATAGTCCCATTCCCTTCTGCAAACTCAACAACCCCTAGTTTAAACGCAGCTGAGTACTGCCTTCTCGTACCGCTACTCATATTGAGTGAACGAAAAAAAGACCACTAAAAATGAAACACAATGTCAAGCGGAGCGAGAACTTAGAACAGATCGGAAACAAATCACGAACACAAAAAAACAGACGAGAGAAAAAAAAACCTGCTATTGGATTTGAATGTAAATATAGCTGTGTCCAGCTTCTCATGCACATGCAAGCCACATGTTGCCAGACAGCGGTGCACAGTTGGCTAGACACCGCTATATAAGTTGAGGGGCGACTTTAGCGCGTTGTTTTATTGAAAATATCTCGACTTATATTTCTGTTTATACGGTAGTTGTTTGCTGAGTGCCAGGCCACTGTAAGATACAAAGAAATGTTTTGGCGAGCAAGCTGGCTGCATCTGCCAGTGACACCACTGCCAATGCATCAGTACCAATCCCTGCACCTGAAACCTTTTCTTAAACGAAAGCTCAGGGGCTATTGCTAGAGCATGTGGGATAGACACA